CATATTCAATTGAGTCTGACTTTGACACATGGAATAAAGTTAGTGAACATATTATTCTAAACTATGTATTGATTAATAATGTTTATTTTGTTTTGACAGGTTGAAAAATCACAAATATCATACCACAAATCCCCTCAGACATCATTAACGCTTGTTAATAATATAAAAACAATTGTAGGCTCTCAATCTCAAATTGAATCATGTAATTTAGATGAATTCAATGAGTATTTAGAAAATATGAAACAATCRCCWGAATCAGACCAATCTCAACATGCCGAACAAAAACAGGCAAAAGAAGAAGAATCGATGCAAGAATCTCCTGATAGTTTTATGTCTTCTTCACCTTTGAATAAATATCAAACCAGAAGGTCATTGAATAAGCAATTTGAAAATTCAATGGAAATGGAATTTATTGGATCTACTTTAATAGAAGAGTCAAATGATAGTGTTGAAAAATTAAAACTAATGTACAATCAGTGTAAATCAGAAAATCAGGAGCTGCGTGAAAAGTGTGAAAAAATTGAAAAGTACTGGGAATCAAGGTACAATCAACTATGTGAAGTAGCAGACAAAGCACTAGAAGAAGCTAAACGGTTGAAAGATGAAGGTACTGAATTGGAACGTGGTATGGATACACTACGCAATGAATACTTGGAGTGTGAAGAATATTGGTCTTTAAAATTAGAAGAAGAACATAAACTAAATGAATTGGTTAGTATTTCTTGATTTGAATTGTATCAACTGTCACAAATATATTTGTTTGTAAATTCATTATTAATCTGTGTTTATGGGTWAAATAATTTTCAAATTAGATTTTTTTTCTTTTAATAAAATTAGAGTTATATGTTAAATAGGAGAARAAAGTTAGTGAAGAAAAATTGAATAATCTAGAAATCAAGATTAAAGAGTACAGTGATCTGTTAGAAGAGACAACTGATAATAAATTACCTTCAATCGACGAAAATGCTGAACTTGAAGAACAAGTAATTATTATTTTTAAATCTTTATCAAAATATTAMTTAAATRGTTTTTACATTATTTCCACAGATAAATTGTATTCAACATGAATTTTCAAGCTACTGTGTAAAAATCGAAGAAGAAATGGAAAAGCTTAAGATTGAAAATGAAAGATTAAAATCTCAAATTGTTATTCCAGTTGAAAAAGAATGTGAGAAATGCCACGAAAATTTAAAAGTTTGTTTTCTTTAGAGCATATAATATTTGTTTTCCAATTTATATTTGTTATGTATAATTATTGATTTATTCTGCTTATATACTTACCTCAATATTTTAGACTTTCTGTCAGAAATGTTTTAATAGTTACTATAAGCTTGTAAGAAGAGTGTTTGCTCATAAATATTACAATAAATAAATATATATATTTTTCTAATTTCTAGATAAATAGCGAATTTGACAACAGGGAGTTTGACTTAAAAAAAAATTGTGAAAAGTTAGGAATGGAATGCCAAAGTTTGTTGCAACGAAGGAACATACTAAAAAATGAAATTTCRCAATTACAAGAATGTCATAATGYACMTACTTTTAGTAAGTWGTTGAATTTGATGTTTAATACTAAGATACTTTGGTTTTTACTCTGTATTGAATTTGAACATTACTTAAATCTTATACTTATTATGTAGTATACTATACTTTTGTCCCATTGTCAATAGCAATATTTTAAATTAATTTTATATTGCATTTATATAGTAGTTAACTACTGCTCAAAATTAGGCTAATTTGAGTTTCTGAAGAAAACAAAGTATTTCCATCAAATAATATGCATTATAATGTATTATAAAAAAGCTTTGGCACCTTTAATTTTAAAATATTAGCATGGATTCATAAAACAAAGCTTAATTTTAATTTATTTGTACTACTATAATCACAAGCTTACAACTCAAGTTTAGCAAAACTGTTGATAGCTGGSAATAATTTCTGGTTAATAATTTATACAAATTTACTTGTATAAAAACCTAATATTGTTTTTCAGAACACCCACAAAGAGTTATTCATGAAAATGGAAATCAATCAAATCAATCAGGTGTGACACCTGAAATGTCCATATATACTAAGAGGTGCAAAGAACTGGAACAAAAGCTCCATGATGAATAGACCAGTAACCAAAAGTTGACCAACAGTTAGTAATTAAATAATTTTATGGTTATTCTTTTTAGTCTATTCTAAAGATTGGGTARACATACAATTTCAAAAAGTGTCAATGTCATTGATTTTCTTTCTCTAYGTAATTAATAGTTATTACGAAATAACATTTTTGATAAAATTTTATTTTTTGAATCATAACATAATTATTAAAATTGAATTTCAAACAAATAGTTAGAGTTTAAAACTTACTAAAAATGTTGATGAAAGCGATAGAATGGCAGCACTCTATGGTTACCTGCTAATTCTAAGTCTACTAATTGGAAAGTCTACAATAAAAAATATATCTTGAATAAATTATC